CAAATGTCAGTCACTTGGCAACACAGATACATTTACAGCTGTGTTCCGTGGTGTCCTGGTCATTTGACTGAATTTTTACAACAATTTTGCTAAAAAACTGGCACTTCTGGTTTTGAGCCACTGTCCCCATAGTCAATCTTTGGTCCGCTTAACTCTGTGTGTGTGGGGGGAGGGGGTTTGTGATCCACCCATTTTATGACTGTCACAATTTACAACTGTGATGGGCAGGTTCCGTTACGGTTGTAAGTCAAGGACTGCCGTTATATGAAAATGCAAAGGGGTGCCTGGTTTAACAGATGAATGAAACGGAGGGATGTCTATTCATCAAGAAAGTCTTCAAATCAAAGAGCAGATGGGATGTACATCATTTGCTTGACAAGGAAGTAAACTGATGCAAATAATATAATTTGGTGTTATTGGTGGAATGGCATTGTTATATCCATGACATAAATTGCAGAGGATATTTAAGATGCAGCATATAATCAGTTGCATCAAATTATGGTAAAAGATGGTTTTTATTGTATACGCAATTTGACTTGGCTGAATTTTCCTCAGTGTGTCTATCTACAACCCCAAAAATGCTGAAGTTCACGTACATCATACAGTATATAGTATAAGTTATATACAAATCATTTACTAGATGACAGCATGTAGCTACACACTGAATGACTTTTAAAAGGTAAGCAGGGTGGATCTGATTGTTACTTGAAACAACGTGATTATGTGACAAACAACATTCTCTTTACAAGAGAAACAGACATGTTACATCACTGAAAACTTGAAATTTGCTGCTGGTAATATGCATGAAATGTGCAGCAATTACTGTGCAATGTAACCAGGGGGTACATCATTATATTAAGCCAGATATGTTTTAACCGTAGTTGCTGGCTAAGCACAATCGGCTTGGTTATGTCACACCAAGCCCCAAACCAGAGTTTTTAAACCACAGAAATTGGGCTCTCATATCACGTTAAGCCAAAATCAAAGAATGTTACAGCTGAGCCAGTGCACAAAATGACGGCTGTTTTTAACGGCTTCAAATGAGACCTTTTTCTACAAAAAAATATATATATTTTAACTCTGAAAGAAAACGACTGTAGTTACCCATGCACTTCTTTTAACGGGCTAAGTGAAATTTGAACCTGGATTTCACATTCCCAGAATTATTATCAATTGCGTATTATTTACATTTCCAGAAAGGGCCTATCTGAAATGAGAATCTATGAGAGGAAGTCTTTGAAAATACATTTTAGAATGCTTATATCCAGTACTGAAATCCAAATTTTGTTATTACTGGTTCTGTGGGCGTGGCTTGGTGGGCGTAGCTTGGTGGGCATGGCAGGGGAAGGCTACTGCAAAATCTCCCTTCCCTCCCCACTCCAGGGGAAGGATATTGCAAAATCCCCATTCCCTCCCTATTCCTGAGGGAAGGATATTGCAAAATCTCCATTCCTATCCCACTCTGGGGCCAGCCAGAGGTGGCATTTGCCAGTTCTCCGAACTACTCAAAATTTCCGCTACCGGTTCTCCAGAAGATGTCAGAACCTGCTGGATTTCACCCCTGCTTATATCTGCGAAGGCCAACCAATCTCCAAAAGGGCAAGCAAACTGATAGTAGCACTAAATAGTAATTCTATGAACCTTAGAAAGAATTTTGCAAAGCAAACGTAACACACAGGTTTGAAATATAGCACCTTAAGATAAACAAAAAAATCTCATGCTTTGTTAATTAACAAAGGAATGCACCCAGGTCATCCAAAACCATTTCTTGCTGATGAAGATACACATAATCCTTCATTCATATTTCCCCAATGGGTACAACCTTCCAAATCTTCCAGAATTCCTAGTCAGTATGGAATTTTGGGAGGTGTAGTCTCAAAATATCTGCAAAGCACTAGAAGGATTGGAGAAACCGCCCTATCCACAATAAAAGCCAAGTAACAGGACTGCAATGAATATGCATTTTCAGTGGATCTCGTATTGGACAGCATCAGTTAAGAAGTGCTGGTGAGTCAGCTTCAAATGCACTTACTCTCTGAGAGCATTATACATTCCTTCCCATTTTGAAAGATAAGCAGGTGAACCTAAGAATTCTACTATATGAAAAATCTATAGCTAAAGTCTTGGCAAGTAACTACATCTCAGTTCATGAATTGTCTTGTTTATTATGGAAAGGATACCTTACATCAGGTTTGTCAAACTGGCAGCCCGTGGGCCGGATGCGTCACACACAGGCCACACCTACCCCAGCTCCGCGAAGGAGGAAATCTTTGCGAAACGTCATGTGACGGCAACGTGACGCGGCAAGGTTGACACCAGTGCCTTACATGATCCTACCTGTGCTTATTTTCCTCTATTTTAGGAGGAAGGAGGGAGGGAGGCTGTGCCACAAGCATGTAATGCAATAATAGGTTATTTTTAACCCTAAGTATTTCCAAGAGATTTTACCATGAAACATGGTGCTGGCTACCAAGTTGACTTACTTTAAAAAAAGAGTTAATTCTTGGAAGTTAATGGGATCTGTTGGGAGATCAGTGGGCCTTCTTGTGTAGTTGGTTGGTCACTTTGAGAATGGACTGCTGGATTAGATGGGCAGTGGGTCCGATCCAGCAGATCATTCATATACAAGATTGTCTTTCCCTTCCTGTAAAACGTGGGTAGAAGCCCTGCTGAAGTCCCATCTCTGAAGGAATTCCATCTACAGGTAATCCTCGAGTTATGATCATAACTGAGCCCCAAATTTCCACTGTGAAGCGGAAGAAAACTACAGTGCAGATTCTAAACTAGGTATATCAAAATGACAAAATTTTATATTAAGCAAAATAGCTCCACCCACATTGTAGCTTCTCAGAAGTGACTTAAGAGTGGCCCTTGGCCATAAAAATGTCTTTGTGCATCGCAACAGAAACCAACATCTTCCAAAAATTGTGTCCTGCACAAGGTCATTCTCATCTTTATGCATTTCAATGCATGTCTGTCCCTGGTTCTTCAAATTAATCACATTCTTTTATATTCCCTTCTTTTCCAAACATTTTGCTTAACAAGAACACTTTAGAGAGAAGACCAAGAAGTTGCGTTTTCCCATAATTTCCATAGTAGTACAGTCAAATACTGAATATATATATATATCTTGTATTACCCTATCAAATTCTGATATATATATATTACAAACTATTCTAAAAATACAAGTTCCAGGTATATTAGTAAACAAAGAAGCAGACATCCTGCGAGCTCCAGAACTTAAAATTTAAAAACTTAAAAGGACCCAGTTTGCGGGGGCAATAAGCTGACTTTGTATAAATATATACAAAAAGGATGAAGGCTATTGCTGAGCACATTGTAAGCAGCCCTGAGTCTCTGGAGAAGGGCGGCATATAAATCAAATTTAAAAAAAAATAAATAAAAAAATTTAAATAATTAAAATTTTATTTTATAAACTTTCGTCAGCCATCTGCTGTCATCATCAAGAGTATTAAACTAATGGTAGTTTAATACTGTAATGATAGTTTAATACCATTAAATTACAGTATTAACATATTAATACCATTAATACTGTAATGGCAGTTTAATACTACCGCCCCGAGTCCTTCGGGAGAGGGGGCGGTATAAAAATTTAATAAATAAATAAATAAAATACTCTGACGATGTCAGCAGATGGCTGACAAAAGCTTAGTACAATAAAATTTTAATTATTTTAAAATTTTAAGTTCCGGAGCTCACAGGATGTCTGCTTCTTTCTTTACACACACACACACACATATATATATTGTATTACCCTATTTCCCCCAAAATAAGACATCCCCTGCTAATAAGCCCAAATGGGCTTTTAAGCGCATGGCAATAAGGCCAAGCGCTTATTTCAGAGTTCAAAAAAATATAAGATAGGGTCTTATTTTCGGGGAAACACGGTAAATGTAAATATAGTAAACACGGTAAATATAGTGTGTGTGTGTACACACACATATACACATATATACTATATTTACCGTGAGATTATATAAGAAATATATATATTTCTTTCAGCCATGTTTTTCCTATGTAAATCAAGATCTTTATACAGCCATAGTCCAGTGAAATCTCATTCACTAGTTTCTGGGCTTTATCAGACATCAAACCAGCATTTATTTTTTTTTTAATTTGATTTATATGCCGCCCTTCTCCGGAGACTCAGGACGGCTTACAATGTGCTAAGCAATAGCCTTCATCCTTTTGTATATTTATACAAAGTCAGCTTATTGCCCCCACAACTGGGTCCTCAATTTACCTACCTTAGAAAGGATGGAAGGCTGAGTCAACCTTGAGCCTTGGCGAGATTCGAACCTGCAGTAATTGCAGGCAGCTAGTCTTAATAACAGGGTGCTTTAAACCACTGTACTACCAAGGCTCCTTTTTTGCTGTCTGTTGTGAGTGTGTGTGTGTGTGTGTGTGTGTACACACACACACATACACTAAAGTCTTAGATTAAGTCTTGATTTTTGGAAAGTGTTAGGAGAAAAGCCACAAATCCATTAAATGAGATGCTGTGTGTGTGTGCGCGCGCGTGCGGGTGCATGCATACACACACACAAACACACACAGAGTATCTCATTTAATGGATCTGTGGCTTTCCTCCCAACTCTTTCCAAAAATCAAGACTTAAGACTTAATCTGCCCCGATAAATTTCTCTTCCAGTAAACTGAAGCAGCCCTTTTGTTTCAAGCCACAATAGCCATTCAGATGGCCAATGAAACCACACATGCCCGTTATTCACACCAAGCAGGTTTCAGTGACAGGTTTCTGGCTTATATTCTTTGAAGCCACTGGCACAGATTCACACTCGGGGAGGGAAAACGGAATATTCACAGATGTCTTAACAGATAAGCCATGGGTCCCAATAGCCAAATTTTTAAAAACAGAAGAGTAAGACAGCACCTACAGGTTTTGCAGTCCACATACGCTCGTTCTGCTAAAGGAAAAAGGGAAAATTAAAAAAAAAAAAACCCTGGACACATCTGCTTACCACGCGTATTGGTTGCCATGTCTGCTACTTTCTGAAAGGCATCCAGGAAGGCAGCTGCGGCTACAACCGTCGTCCTAGAATACAAACAGACAGCATAATATGAGAAACAGATTGTTGCAGTCTATTTGGGTCACTAAACAAGAAGAAAAAAAATACTATTAGACGGTAAAAAGCTAATAAGACAGTTGTATATAGAACAAAGAAAGGGTAATGATCTTTTCGATCTCATTTGCTCCCGGCCTTCTGAAGAGCAAAGTCAAAGGGGAAGCCAGATCCACTTAATAGCAATAGCATTTAGGCTTATATACCACTTTACAGCCTCTCTCTAAGCGGTTTACAGAGTCAGCACATTGCCCCCAACAACATGGGTCCGCATTTTACCCACCTCGGAAGAGATCTGCAAAGGGACCATAAGTAATAGTAGAAAGTTACAGGTAACCTCGACTTACAACAATTTGTTTAGTGACCATTCGAAGTTACAATAGCACTGAAAAAAGGGTGACCCTTTTTCTTACTTATGACCGTTGCAGCATCCCCCCATGGTCATGTGATTTACACTCAGATGCTTGACAAGTGGTTCATATTTATGACAGTTGCAATGTCCCAGGGTCATGTGATTCCCTTTTGCGACCTTCTGAGGTCAACGGGGAAGCCAGATTCACTTAATAGCAATAGCACTTAAGACTTATATACTCCTTCATAGTGCTTTACAGACCTCTCTAAGAGGTTTTACAGAGTCACCTTATTGCCCCCAACAATGGGTCCTCATTTTACTGACCTCGGAAGGATGGAAGGCTGAGTCAACCATGAGCCCATCAGAATCGAACTCCTGGCAGTGAGCAGTTAGCCTGTAACAATGCATTCTAACCACTGTACCACGATGGCTCTTAATAACCATGTTACTAATTTAACAATTGCAGTGATTTACTTAACAAGTATGGCAAGAAAAATTGTAAAATGGGGCAAAACTCACTTAACAAATGTCTCACTTAGCAACAGAAATGTTGGGTTCAATTGTGGTCGTAAATTAAGGACTACCTTTACTTCTTTATTGTTTAAAACATAGCAGTCAGAGGTACATTAGTGAAGATAGTCTTTGAATTATCACCATTTGTTTAATGATGGTTAAAAGTTACAACAGTCTTGGAAAAAGTGACATATAACCTTGTCCTGAGTTATGATTGTTGCACACACACACTACACACACAGAGACCCGTGATCACAATTCAAGCATTTAGCTTGCATTTATGACAGCTAGGTGTTGTGGCCCGTCAGCGGCCTGTGCTGATTGTAGCTGATTCCGACAACAAGGAGGTTGGTGTGGTGCTGCGCCAGCAGCCTGTGCAGCTGGCGCTCGAGTCGGACAGTGAGGAGGCTGGAGAAGATGTGGTGCCAGAGGCAGGGATTCAGCCAGGGCCTTCAGAACCTCCAGAAGCTCCTTTAAGTGAAGAGGACGAAGAGGAGGAGCCTCTTCTCAATGCACGGGCGCACAGAGCTGCCAAAAGGCAGGAGTGGCTCCTCAGGAGGAGGTCTCCTCGAGAGTAAGGCTTGGGGCTAATTGGCCACTCCCTTAGCCTATTTAAGAAGGAATGCCGCTTGCAATAAGCTATAGGGAACAACTTTAGTTCACTCTCCTTCGCGTCTGGATTCTCTGCAAAATTGCTTCTGGGCTTTCTGCCAATTCTAGTAAGACTGTGATTACCATAACTTAGAATTCTGGTAGGCTGTTAGGACAGTTTATTAACAGCCTTTGGTTGATAAAGACTGAGTTATTTGAGTAAAATAAGCTTTGTACAGAGTTTGTGTGTGCTGCGTTCTTTGGGGTCTGTAGCTGGGGCAGAACAATAGAACAATAAGATTGGAAGGGACCTGAGAGGTCTTCTAGTCCAACCTCCATATTCCAACAGGAAACCCTATTACACAGACACACACAAATATAGTGACCTGCAGTCACATGATTTTCGACCTTCCCAGCAGTCTTTTGACAAACAAAGTCAATTGGGGAAGTCAGATTCAATTAATGACTGTGATTCTCTTAACGAATGCAGCAAAAATGACTGTAAAACCAGGACAAGTCATGGGATGCCTCATTTAACATCCACACTGCTTAGCAATTTGAAATTCCACTCCCAACTGTTGTTATAAGTCAAGGATTATCTATATAATTAAAAAAGAATAGAGAGGAGGATGCTCAAAAATGCATACTTTATTGACTGCACATTGCACTGAAGTACATGATTCATTTGTTTTTGACTTGCTCTGCTGTGCAAAACCTCACTGGTGCAATTAGTAAAGCACGCTTCATCGCTTAACATTATGAACCTACCTAGTAGCTATGTGGGATTTATTCAACAAGCTAAATTTAAGTGATAGTCCAGCAAAACCTAAGAGGCCTTACAAGGGCAGTCTATGCCGATTTGAGCCCAGCGTGTCATGAGAATCTAACTTTTTCTGGTTTATAAACCACAGCTGGGGCTCGGCATTGTGTAAACTCTGCCTACTGAGGCTAATTTAGGAAATCATGGCTTAGCGTATGTTATCCCATCCAAAGAAGAGCTGGGATATAATATTTTCAGCAATAGGAAATATGTCATCGCCAGAGATTAGCCAAGGCCTGATCTCGACATTCTGAAGAGAATGACATAAAATCGTGGGTTTAAATTATTAAAAACTAGAATAATAACATCGAACGCCATGACCCATAAGGCTCTTCTTTACTGAAATTGCTCCAAAGGAAGTTAGATAACCATCGGTTGCAGATGCAGATGTTTGGAGTCCAGTGATTAGCTGGAGTGGCCTGGACTATTAATGTCCTAAATGGCTGCTTCCAACTCCATCAATCTAAGATTCATAAGACCGTTCCCCCGTCTGGAAACATTGTTCTGTATTCAGGGTACATCTTTGCCTTATCAAATCTTGCTACTACATAAAACAAGGGTGTCAAACTCGATTTCATTGAGGGCAGCATCAGGTTGGTGTTCGACCTCGGAGGGCCGGGGGGAGGGGTGACACAGAACTCATGCTGGGGGCACCTATGCATGCCCCCAGGTGGCCAAATGCTAAGACAGGACTTCCCTGATACCCTCCCTCACTCGCATTATAATCTCCTTCCTTCCTTCCTTCCTTCCTTCCTTCCTTCCTTCCTTCCTCCCTCCCTCCCTCCGTCCATCCCTTCCTCCTTTCCTTTTCTTTTTCCTTCCCTCTTCAGTCTCCTTCCCATCTTTCCTTTTTTTTTCTTTGTCTTTCCTCATTCCCTTTCTCCCTTCTTGCATGCTCAAATGCAAAAAGAGGAACTATTTCTCTTTGTTTTGTTTTTAGTTTGTATTGATAGCCCTTTGCCACCGAAAATGGAGGGGGGGGGGCAAGCATGGCCTCCAGCACCCTGTTTTCAGCCTGGACGGCCTTCTGCAGCCCTCTGCCAGTGAAAACGGAGTCCATTTTCACTAGCAGAGGCACCTGCGGGCGTTAAGTTTGACACCCCTGACATAAAGGATAAACTAGGGACTTATTTTAGACAACAATAAGGTAACAGAATGCAAATATCTACCTGTTGCAATCAAACAAATGGCACCTGATCTACAAGGATTTGGGAGCAAATCAATCCAAAATCTCACCAGGCTCAAGGTTGACTCAGCCTTCCATCCTTTCTAAGGTAGCTTAAATGAGGATCCAGTTTGTGGGGGCAATAAGCTGACTTTGTATAAAATATACAAAAATATGAAGGCTATTGCTTAACGCATTGTAAGCCGCCCTGAGTCTCCGGAGAAGGGCGGCATATAAATCAAATTTTATCATACCTGTGATGGCGAACCTATGGCACGCGTGCCACAGGTGGCACGCGGAGCCATATTAGTGGGCATGCCAGCTCAGCTCTGGAGCGCATGCACACGCCGGCCAGCTGATTTTCGGGCCTTCTGGGCCCACCAGAAGTAGGGAAACAGGCTGTTTCCTGCCTCTGTAGGGCCTGGGGGGGGGATGGGGAAGGCCCGTTTTTTTTACTTACCTGGCTCCAGATCTTCTCTGTGTATCTGGGAACGGCGAAAACAGCCTTTCCCACTTCCTTGGAGGCCCTACGGAGGCTCAAAGGGCCCATTTCCCCACTCCCGGTGGGACAGGAAGTGATGTTTTTTCCTGTCCCCAGCCTCCAGAGACTCCTAGAGAGGCTCCGACAGACTCCTAGAGAGGTTCTGGAGGCTGGGGACAGCAAAAAATGTCACTTCCTGTCCCACCGGGAGTTGGGAAATGGGCCCTTTCAGCCTCCGTAGGGCCTCCAAGGGAGTGGGAAAGGCTGTTTTCGCCGTTCCCAGATACACAGAGAGGATCTGGAACCAGGTAAGAAAGAAAAACGGGCCTACCAGGCCATCATGTGCCAGGAGTGGGGGGGAGGGGGTTGCACACACATGCGCGTGGGCACGTGCGTGCGTGACCCTCCCCTGCCCCCCCCTCTCCTGGCACATGATGGCAAAAAGGTTAGCCATCACTGCCCTATACAATCCTAGGGAAATAATTGTCCAGTCTCTTCTTGAAAATCTCCAGTGATGGAGCACCCACAACTTCTGGTGGCAAGCCATTCCACAGATTAATTGTTCTCACTGTCAGCAAACTTCTCCTAAGGTCTAGGTTGGGTCTCTCTTTAATGATCTTACCATTTTAAATGGAAATTTTACATTTACATTGAGTTTACCCAGGCTTGTCTCATGAGTCAGTTGCAGAACATTTCACCTTTGTAAGATGTTTACATCTTAGATGACCAATCTGACAGACCAAGCAATCTTTTGCTCAAGAAGCTTCATATAAAGGAACTGCGGGGGGGGGGGGGACGACTTCATTTCATTTAAGTTAGAATATTTTAGATCAGGGGTCTCCAACCTTGGGTACTTTAAGACTTGTGGACTTCAACTCCCAGAATTCCCCATAGCTGGCTGGAGAATTCTGGGAGTTGAAGTCCACAAGTCTTAAAGTGTCAAGGTTGGAGACCCCTGCTTTAGATGCCTTCTACAGTAAACGTCAAGATGAAATGTCTTTCCGAGACAAAGACATATTGAATGTCATGAGGAACATCAAAATGCAAAAT